AAGTGTGAGACTAAGACAAACAAACACCATTGTGTATCTTTTCCAGTAAAATGGGATATTCCCAAGGGCAACTCCCAGACCTGCCAGGAAATCTTTAGTGGTCTTGACCAACTTCAGCATTGCCTACCTGACCTTACATTTAGGGGATTATGGCTGCCATCTCCCAAGGGTCAGGCTGGGGTCATAGGGAACTCCACATGGCTAAAATATACAAGAAAAATGGAGGACGTCTGCTAACAACATTGATGGTGGCAAAGTCGGAATAAGTCTGATTGAACACATAGTAGAACCCATTGGAAAATCTACTCTATTGCAGTGGTGATCTGCTTGGGGTTGTCTAGTAAAATTGCCATGAGTGATCAGGGGCCTTTTATACTCTTCCCCAAAGGAGGTGCAAATAGACCACATGACAGCTCACTGTGAAGATTTTGCATGACACTTCGTGGATAAAATCACTCAGATCAGATGATGAACATCCAGTGGGTCTAATCTCTGCTCCTGCTTGTCTCACATTAGTAGATATGTTTCAGTTTGTGCCGCCTGAGAATATGGGCAGGATTTCTTGGAGAGGCAAAGGTCATCACATGTGTAGTGGTCCCTTGCTCTTCTTGGCATATAAAAGCAGCCAAAGGGGGGAATGGCTGTTTGGGTAGCAGGAGTAGTGAATGTATCTTTGCAGCAAAGCAGAGTTCCAGTTTGTCTAAAAGAAGCTCTGCTGAGGCCCTTACTTTCAAAACAAAACAAAACAAAGAACAAAAAACAAAATAAAAAAACCCTCCCTAAATCTGATTCCCTAAACTACCAGCCAACCTCCAATATTTCTTTTCTAGGCAAGGCTCTAGGCATGTGGTGGGCTTCCATCTCCAGGAGTTCTTGGATGAAATGGACCATCAAGTTCCATTTCAATCTGGACAGATGTCTCCCCTTTGACTAGTTGTTTAATAAACACAAAAATAAATCTACCATTTAAACATTTCTCCTAGAAAACAGGAATGTTTCTTCTGAGTTGTTTCTAGAATGGCCTGTTTCATCAAAGTATTTATGCAAGGGTGGCTTGGAAATTCTTGGAAATGTGCTTTTTGACAGGCAGTTGGACAAGCCACCCCTTCCATAAGTGTCTTGGCTCATTGGGGCCTCAAGTTGCCACAAGCTGCTTTAGAAAATCAGCCCCTTAATTGAAGGCTTGCACTTGTCAATCCACCATAGCAATGTCAACAGAATGTTCCACTCTGCCACAATTTCATGGGATCTGTCAAAATGGCCTAAAATCAAAAATTTGGAAAATAATGGGTAGCTTCATGAAGAAAGACCATATCCATTTATCACCATAATTAGTAATATAATAGCAAATGAAGCACTACTAGGAGCAATATTGAATATAGCCAGCCAACAACAATTTTCTGCCTAGGGCATAGGACAAGATTGCATCCCCCTCAGCTATTCCCAGTTTACAGCTTGACTGGACCGACAATTGAATTCTTCTTGAACATTGATGATGGGACACCATTTTTTATCACTCTAAAGGCAGCAGGCTAACTTAGGGCATTAGGACAAGGCATGTGCTGCACACACACATTTCTTTTCTCCAACCTCTTGCTGCCATACCAAATGGTATGAGCAGTCTTGATCTTGAACAGCAAAAGTTTCTGTTATGCTGTCACTGACCATTCTAATGTGGTGATCCTTATTCATTCTGCTCAGTGAAACATTCTCTACAAAGTCTGAGAAGTTAGTACAGAAACTGAAAAACAAGTTACAGGAGCTGAAGAGTTTTGCTTTACTAACTCTAGCATTCTGCATTTGTGCATGCATTTAACCCCCCCCCCCTTTATTTTAACTGTGCTTAATAATTGTTCTGTTGGTTTAATAGGAAAAAAAATATGTTTTCTCCTAGTAATGTTTAATAGGAGAAAATTGGTTTGTTCTCAGATGTTTCTGTGGTGGACTAAAACCTTTCTTACATGCTTATTGCTTCAAAACACAGCTTTGTGGTTTGTACTACAGTGTTTGAATTGTAAATGGAACTCCCTATTTAGCTGAGATACAGGTCATATCTCAGAAGCATAAAATAGTAATCAAACATAAAACAAAGAGAAGTGCAAAAACAATCAATATTCCCTCTCCCTGTTGTCTTTCCATTCTAACTAATAATGGAGTCAACCTCATGTAAGAAAGGTGACTTGTTTTTCCACTGCAAAAGTCATTATTTTCTGCCTTTGTTTCATTCTGAACAAATTTTGAGCCCTTTCTCTAAAACTTCCTTGTTTTTTTTTTCTTGGAACATGCAATTAAACCATAGGATGATGGGGTCTGTAGAAGAAAAAAAACCCACCCCCCACACATATATACACACACACTTCAGATTTCCATGACAACAGATGCAGTAGAGTCCAGAAACTGCAATGAGGAATGCTTTGCAAAAATAAAACTTAGGGGCAGAAGGAACAGGTCATTATGAACAAAGAAAGAGTAGTTCGCATCACTTCAGCAATTCATCTGAAAGTATAATGTAGATTCAAGATGGTATCTATGATACACGGTTATAGCATTTTGATTTAGGGATGTAAAGAATATTTGCACCTTTTTTTTACTTTAATGAGTGGATGAGACAGGGTGTCTTGACATATTGAGATACTCCACAACCATGGTGAGATTTTTGTGTGTTTGTTGTGTTGCTTTTGTTCTTATCCTTGAGTATAAGTGGAAAGACCAATGTTTTCCCCCTTTTTTTATTGAGGGATTTGCAACTTTATTAGTTTTTTGGCACATTACAATGTTTATTCAAAACCCAATGGATGACATCCTGTTCAGCACTTACAATACCATAAGTCCAGTTTGTTGTTGTTGTTGTTGTTGTGTGCCCTCAAGTCATTTTTTACTTTTGCCAACCTAAAGGTGAACTTATCATGGGGTTTTCTTGACACGATTGATTCAGAGGAGGTTTGCCATTCCCTTCACCTGAGGCTGAGAGCATGTGACTTGCCCAGTATCACTATTGGGTTTCATGGCCAAGTGGGGAATCAGACCCTGGTCTCCAGAGTCATCCAGTTTATGAT